ACTACTTGACGTAACCCGATACGGGATCGAACGCCACAAAGAAATTACGTCTAGTCGTGGATACTAGTCGGGCAAGCTTTACGTCCGTATGTGACAATTGAAAGCGTAGTAGACTCTTTCGTTTGGATTAAATGAGACATAAGAATAAATTCGACGACACCATAAATTATCGGCTCTTCCGAGTGAAGCTATTTTTGGGTTATGTTATTATATTATTTTCCTACGTTACACTTGTCTAAAAAATTTATTGCCGTACCATTAGTCTTATAATCAGATGGTTTCCTGGTAGGTAGATGTCCCGCTAATATAGCACGCTTGGTATAAAAAAAAAGAAAGTTCCGAAGCATTTATGTATTCTTTTGTAGTGCTGGGGGGTTCTTAACTTTAATGGCGAACAATTAAACGACGTTCTGGTAGTTTGAAGAAACCCATAGACCTAATATTATAGAGACTTAATAGGTCTGTCCCACGTGTGACCCAGGTAGCAGTTTAGCTTCTCTAGAAAGACATTTAAAACGTTTCCCGGTCCAGTTTTTAGTTCCGTTTACTCATACCTAAGAATTGTAAAATAAAGATAAAATTGTTCAAAATATATTTGACGTTGAATAAAATGCAGAGCGCGAAAAATAATGGGATGTGTGCTTGTCAAACGCGATGCGATCGCGACTCGCGATGTCGGATGGTCGCTTGCACACTTCCTCATCGCGAGATACGTAACAGTTGCACCGTATAGCTCGTTTAGTGGCATAGCCCGTCCATAGGCTGCAACAATTCCCCCCCATCTGACTGGAAAACGTTTGCACGAACGGCTGCAAGCAAACGCGCGCGGCGTTGCATAAGTGCTTCTCGCCTCGATTCCGACCTTGACTTTGACTTTGACTCTTGATTACGATCACGACCAAGTAGTGGCGGCTGCCGACGTACGATACATGATTTCGCAAGACGAGTATGGGCGGATAGATACCTCCACCTCGCTCGGTGCCTGCGTTGCATCGAGTGACTGCGAAACTGCGTGTCCGTACCGTGCACGCGAGTCGTCGACGCGATGTTTGAATCATGACTACCATTTGCATAGGATACAGTGGACGTAATCTAATCTGAGCAATAAAGAGCGAGCGAGCGAGCGAGAGGGGCGGGGGAGGGCGAGGGAGAAGACGAACAAGTATTTATTATCCATGACCGAATAATTTTAGTTATTACTAGAGATCTTTTTCTCATATTTTTATTTTTCTTCAAATTTTTTATCGACTAAGAAAATTTACCTGAATATCAAAGGTAAGGCGGATAAGTTACACGTTAGTGAATAGTTTACCGTCTGTCTGAAAGTAATTTTATTTATTATGACAATATTATACGACTAATATTATACGACGAGACGTGTAAACAATTTTTTGGTGAGATATCTGCATTTTTCTACCCGATATGCTACATTTTTTCTGACGGCTACGTTTTAAGGCAAATTGCAGTATCCGCTTACTCCGGATGTTCTGCAAAATTATCATAAAAAGAAGGGTAAAAAGTAGCTAGGGAAGTAACGATATTGGAAAAGATTGCGGTAGCTGTTGCTTTAATACTTACAATAGCTATATTTGTGTATACGAAAAAGGATTACGGTACTAGTTGCTTTATAGGCAGTCTTTAAAAAGGGAAAGTAGGCTTTTTTTTTTGCTTACGATTTTAGTCCTAAGTTTGGCTATAGACCATAGGAAAGGATACATCTAACTCTCAGGCGTGTAAATTTCAGACCTTGAAAACTAAAAATTGTTCCATAGTATTTTCCCGTAGTTTTAGTATTCCATAGTGTTATAAAAAAAGTATTGTGGATATGTTGCACTTCGATACGTGTTATAAATAGTAAACATTTAAAAAATTAAAATTTAATTTTTTTACTTAGAGATACTTCATAATTTATGATAAGGTCGAGATGCAATTGTAATATAAAATCACTCGTTACAACTCAACAGAATTTTTTTAAAATTATAACAGAGCTACGCGCGGGATCTCAATAAAGCAAGGCTTTAGAGAAAAAGGTTGAATTAAAATAATTCGACATTGCCTAACTTGATAGTTTTTCGATCAGATTCATAATTATGACTAGATTGCAGCAAGAAAAGGCCAGCAAATGTTGGTAATTATTAATTCGTGGAATGTGCAGCGGGAAATACGTTGAGAAATATAATCCTGTCATAGCATTATTTTTCTAATGATATATACACGTCAGGAGAAATACAAATTGATTGTTTGAAAATACGTATTATATCTCGGCAAGTATTAAACAAATTTGTCTATGTGTGTATGTACACACACACACACACACACACACACACACACACACACACACACACACAAATATACAGGGTGTTTCATTTTAAATGATCTACGCAAATATCTCTTCGGGGAAGGGGGCTAGCAAAAAATGACTTGAGCAGAAATGACCTGAGCAAAACCCAACCTGAGTAGTTGGGTTTCGAGGGAGACATAAGATGGTGTCATTCAATTTGATCTTGAATAGTTGCTTGAAGATCTTGTGAAGATCACCTTCAATTTTTTAAATGAAACCCCCTATTGCTTATTATACTATCTTATTCTACTAATTACTATGAACAACTTTTGTCTGAAACATTTTTTGATTTGCCTAATACTTTTTGAGATATTCAAGAGAAAACTTATAACTTTGCCAATGTTTAGCGAGGGGGAAACTGCTGAGGGCATTGTAGTGTTTGTACAAATTTGCGACATTACTAAGCATTACTAGACATCTTTGGGCATTAGTTTGGGCATTAGGCCTTGCTGGGGTATTATAAAGATAAACTAAGGTAAAATAAGATAAAAGGAGAAAAATAAGCTAAAATAAGATGCCCGCTGGGCATTAGTGGGCATTCGTGGACAAGATTTTGGTGAGCGATTTCCACCTCGATGTTTAACTTATGATATCTCGATAACTGTTTGTCGGAGGAAAAAGTAGTCCAGGATTTTTTTTACTTGATTTAGTCTCAGGAATATGCTGTTGCAGTAGTATTCTAATTATTGAAAATTTTTGTGTATGTAAATTTTGTGTGTTACAATACACAAAAAGCTAGCCCCTTTCCCCGAAGAGATATTTGCGTGGATCATTTAAAATGTGGCATCCTGTATATATTTATCTTAATCTTACATAAACTTATTACATAATTAATTTTACACGTGCTGCCGTTCTTGATCACGCCATTTAGAGCTGTCAGAATGTTTTTGTCCAATGCCAGGGATTACCAGTCATTTTCATTATTAACGATTTTTACTAACAAATCTTAATGACTTAAATACTATTAAAAAAAGCGTAACTGAATGATTGTACAAGTTCTAAAAAGAAATCCTTCTTAACAGAATATTATAAACAAAGTTAAGAAATGAAAACGTGCGAGAACAACGTTATTTTTCTTGTTAGCGTATTTACGTTTATGGCTTCGTTAACAGGTATATTTAAATCAACCGAAGATTCGTGTCTATCGTTGCAATGCGCGAAGGATATGTTTTATGCATGACCGGCAGACAGATAAAGAAAGAGAGAGAGATAAAAAGGAGAGAGGGAGAAGGCACGGAAAGAGAAATCTTTCAATATAAATAAAACACTAATCTCTCCTTCAGAGGATGTTTAACTTTGTTTTACCTGCCCTTTGTCTTTTGTCAGACTAATACCCGTTTCTACCAATACACGTTAACTTTAATCTCAGTTCAACTTACTTTGTATCTTTTTCTAGTTTCACGAATTGGAAAAAGACAAGAAGTGATTTAAGCCGAGATTAAAGTTAATCTGCGTTGATAGAAACGGACATAGAGGCAGAGCGATCAGGGCAAATCTTTTAAAAATTACGGAAAACTGTCAGATGAATTATTTATTTAGTACAATTATTACGTACGAAATTTAATTACAATCAGCTTTGTACATCAATCGATCTCCAATTTTATTATAACGTTCGTATCTATGTCGCACAGCTTTTGTGATACAAGATCGTGAAAAGAAATCTTGCAGACGGTCGATCACGTTCCGAGATTTCTTCTCTAGGGTGAATAAATCTTCCCGATGGACCACAACGTTGTAAACTCGCTCTCGAAAATATTTTTTTTCTCGTAATCTTTGTGAAGATCGTCCTATTCTAGACCCATAGACGACTCAATGTCGCCCCTTTGAATTGAAATGTGCGAATCGGAATTTAGAGACTCTTCCGTAAACTACACATGTGTTTTTCTTCGCTGGAGAATCGAAGCTTTTTAGTCAATGCCTTAGAATGTTTCTTTAAATATATATTTGTTTTTGCAGTTAAAATGTTGGTATAAAAATACGCTGCAGTAGAAATAACTTTGACTTCTTCTTCCATTTCTGTCTTAATTTTCATTTTATCTTTCAATATATTTGGTGTTGCAAAAAAAGCAATTTGCTTTAAAATGTAATAAGTATAAAAAGCGGGATAAGCTAGGAAAAACAAGTTCCGGTTACTTAATTCACGGCTTTCGGCAAAAATGTAGAAGGTTAGAGTAGGAAAGAGGAAGAAGAGAGTTGATTACCCGGAAATGTGTTCAACAGTATAACGTTAATTCGATCAGAAGGTGCAACCGACAGGGACAACTAGTTTTCCCAGAAAAAAAAGAGGAATGAAACAATGCAGACCCTTGGAACACTAGAAAGAAAACGGGGATTGTATAAGGGCCGTGGGCCGAGCTCAACGTAGGCATCACGTAAGAACCGTGCTCCGTTATGCGCATGCGCGTCCGAAGCAGTTTTCATCTCACATCAGTGGATTGTAGAGGGTCCCGCTGGCTGGTTCACGAGTATTGGTAGAATGTTGAGGGCTAGTGAGAGGATGGTGGGGGGACAGTCAACGGGGCCCGCGCGCATTTTGCTCACACGTCAGTAGGCAGTGGTGGGGAGGCGAGAGAGGCGGGGATGTGGACGGGAGGAAGAAAGAGGGGCTTACGGGCCCTCACTACCGTGAGTTCACTTTATACTTGCGTACTCAGTAGCTCACGAGAGGTCGTGCGGTTGAGTTTTCTCGATTCGCAGTACCCGTTCACGGAGCCGTTTCCAACATAACTGTAAATCCGTCAAGTGAGGGAAGTGATAGGCGCGTATGGACCACGGCGCCGGAGCACGCGGATACCGGTCGGATATCGAGTGTGTTTCGTTCACGAGTGACACTCCAATCACATATCCAGGGGCCGAATCGGTTGGCCCCTGTTTTTTTTTCCGGGATGCCGGCGAACGTCTCGCGTGACCGGTAAATCCAACATTGGGATTTTTGGCGAGAAAAACCTCTCTGCTGGTACAGATTTGCTCGATAATCTCACTCAGAATCCCGAGTTGATCTTCACGCCGATCCTCGTGGACGATCGCTCGTCGGCGTGAGAAAGGACAGGTAATGATGAATCATTGCGATCGAGACCACAACAGGTGGGTTTGATAACGTACCTCGTGATCTTTCGCTCACCGTTGTTCATTGAGGACCCTCGAGTATGACACTGTTGTGTACAAGTCCGTACTGACGCGTTTTGCTTTACTTGAGACGCGTTCTTGCTCGTTGTGCCGCGACTACGATCTTGACTGCACCGCGGAACAAGAGAGCGGGTCGTTTACCACTTCGATGTAGTGGTAGTGTAAAGTGACAACTTAGTGCATCGCTCCCGACGTCAGGTCACGATGCCAAAGATCTTCCTGATCAAGAACCGACTGCATCAGCAGCAGTTGCGGTTATCGGAATTGCAACATCTCGGCAAGAGCCCACCACCCGGTAGCGGCAAGGACAGCCCGCTTGGCAGCTCGGAGCCGCTGAGCCTCATCGTTAACAAGGATCAATGTAAAGTGATTTTTTTTTCGTCTAAAACGGAGCGGAACCAGCATAATTTCGGCGATTTCAGTTTTCATTCAATTCTACTCTTGTGTTACATTAAAGGCATAATTTCCCTTACACTGTGGAAACTCGTCGAAATTATACCGGTTCGAATTGTTTCTTAGGGTTGTCGTATTTCAGATTTTTGATTTATATTTGTTGGAGTTACTCTTTCCAATATTTTAAAATACGTAAAGTTTGTCAGAATTTAGGAAATTTCGGTTATTCCTTTCTTCGAACTTTTTTAACACGTCCGCAGATCTAAAGCTAGAATTCTGTCGGCTTCAAATTTGGACGCTTTCTCTGCGCAGAGATCAATGATTGAAATATCACTGTGTCAGAGCACAATCACATTGAACCAATTAAGTCAACCGGACGAATAATGGAGTGGAATTAATATTATCTGCATTATAATTATCGTTAATCACTGTATTCCGGTTTTGCGTTATGAATTTTTACGTGTGCACGCACGAGAGAGATAAATATCTACGGGGTATTAAATCGCGGCGAAGACTCTCGCGTACCTATACAACGCAATCATTAGGGAATAAATGGAGAATGAATTAAGAAGGCTCGGGACAATTATCTTCATCTTTTCGGTGCTGTGTCGTACGCAGCAATTTGATATGCCGATTATCGGATCGTTATGGAGTCGCGTAAGCCGCTGCCGTGTAAAATTAAGATACCGATCTCGACAGTTTAATCCGTAATACGTGCAGACCGTCGATAACGCGGGACGATCGCAGCACAAGTGCAACTTTGTGGCCCCTTTCTCTCGTCGGATATCCTCTTTACGAGGGTATCTGCCGAGCAAGAAAGCAAATAAAAGCGAGAGAGAGAGAGAGAGAAAAAGGCGTCCTAAAATGTTACACTTCTGCAGGTGCGATCGTATTTTTGGCTACAGGTGCGATTGCAATTCGTATACCTCGGTTTCGGGCGTTATCGCGCGACGCATTTGCGGGGTTTTTTACCTCCGTGAATCGCATTATGTTAATTACTCGCGTGTACGTATCCTCGACTCATTATACGGTCTCCGCGAATTCGACAGCTCGCAATATAGCGATCCTTCTTCTCGATCGTGTCCGAGCAAAAAATGGCCGGACATTATCTCTCCTAATGATTCGCGACACCCTTCTCGGCGGCTGCGCCGCACGCGAGCACATTTTTCTACTCGCGATACTTCCTCAATGGTGATTCATTCGCCACGTTTTCCGTCCTCACATTGACCTGACATTATCAGCGATATGTCGTTAATAATATGAAAGAAAAACGATTTCCCGTCGGTGATCTGCCGTTGAACGTTTAGTAACGGTGACCTTTGGCAGTCGGCGAACTTGTATCCGCGTATCTATGCGCGCCACGTGCAGTTAATTATACGAGTTGCCACTTCGTCCACGAATGCCGCGCGCGGTTGCATAATAACGTTTACGTCGTGCGAACGGTTTCGTCGAAAACAACGGTCATCCTGGCGCGCGTCAGCCGCGCCGATGAGGAACGGTATAGTGAGTGAACGGCCGTAAAGTACAATTGCAATTTACCCGTCGCGGATGTGTATACACGACGATCGCCTATCGACGCAGTTGCACCAAGGTCGCCCGAGCTTGCGGCATAACGGCGGAGAATTTCGAAAAGGGAGCTCACTTGACAATATGTGCAATCGGTTTTAACGAGATTTTTCGCGTCATTACGTCGTTTACCTCCATCGCAACGTCGCCAGATTCATTTATCATTATCGCTAGTCGTTACGCACGTAATGACTTTTTTGTCGTTCTCAATGGCCGTAAAGATAATCCGTGGTTTGACTAATTGCGTGAAAATCGCTTGCTGGTCGTATAATTTAGTTACATAACTCACTGCTGATTTTTCGTGCAGACCTATTCATCCTCGGGCGAGGTCTATTCGGGGTCGGATTTTTACAACGGTACCTATAGTGAATATAGTAGGTGGAGACTGAGTGGTCCTATAAACTGGTTTGGGAAAAGCAACCGGTGCCAGTTTCTTTTCTTTTTTTGTGCGGGCTCGCGCTCGCCCCTCGCTTCCCTCTATTTTTTAATCCTCGTTTTGCCAGGTTCCTGGGTTCGAGACCACGAATGCGCAAAACGGCCGTGTCGATGGCCTGTTACTGGTTCTGTGCGATCCCCGTTGTCGCAGGTGCACGCGTTATTCTTTCTCTCTTTCTCTTTCTCTCGGCCGGTGCTTATCATTAATTATATATGTTAATGAAACATTTATATTATACGGAAGCGATTTCGTTCTTAACTTAGCGTCATTCCAAGCTCCGGCTGCCTTTTAATACTTTGTCACAATCACCACTTATTTTTCTCCTTTGGGACACGTGACCGATGCAGCCGTTCAATTAATGCGACGGCGTCCAATCAAGTGATTCATCGCCCCTCGAATTTAATAGCTCGCGTTATAAATCGACTCATTAGACACACGTCGCTTAGAGCCCTTTCGTCCATGCGGCAAGCATAAGCGCGGCTTGCCCGTCTCGATGATAAATATCGTTATCCTTGACGGGTAGAGAAGAAGATTCATGCGCGTGCATCGTCGGCCGGGAGATCGTCGATACGTTACGTAAACGTCTCCTGGTTCGTATCGTGCGTACGGAGCATTAGCTTTATTTGCATTTTCCGCGTTGCCGATCAAACGGAATCCAGATTGACGCGAGATCGTAATGGTACACCGCGCGCGCCGCTCGTATAACGTTTCCTGGCGATGGACGAGCCCGACACGTGTGTACGTTCCGGCGCGCCGGACCGGAGACTTCGATGCTCGCCTAAGCGATGAGTCGCGGCGTCAGGCGGGGATAAAATGCTTCTCCTTCCGATAATTCTCATTCACTCGAAACGTTCCCGGAGATCACATACGTTAAAGATTCGTGCCTTCCTTTCTGAAAGTTGCACGTACTCGAAGCGACTTAATGCAATTCGTTATCAATTTCGAAGAACTATTTAGCGATATGTTTAGATTATCTTTCGAATTGCATTCCATTTGCGTATAAAGCGGAAATGTGCTCTCTCAGCACATCGCATAAGCTTTCGGCAGATGCTAGATACGAAATGAAATAATTTTTCGGGTATCTTTTAAAATTAAAGTATCCCACCGTTACAACAATTTTCCCGTCTCTCTCTCTCATTCTTTCTCAACGTTGCAAACTTAACATAAGTACAATTGACTTATGTGGCATAACTGTCCTATAATCGCTCGAACTTGGACGTGTCTCTTATGGATTCATGGCCGCAACCTTAAAACGGCAACGTGGCACTCTTATCGTGAATGTTGATGAGTTTCGTAGCTGGTATTTGGCGTGTCTGTTAAGCAACGGAGTGTCTCCCGTTAGAGCTGTAGGAACCTTCGGTTTCGCGCGAAAGTTGCGCAACGCGGCTCGCAGCTCAAGCCTCGCTGTCAGTGATCTCCGCGACGGCCAAGGCGACCGTGCCGGCATTAGAATCTCGTTGTGGCATACGACGCGGCGAGAAATGGTGGGGAATAGATAGAAGGACGCAGACGGACCGAGAGTCACTGACTAGAAATTCAATACGATGTACGGAACTCCTCGCGTTCCCCGGCGATTTTATCGAAAAGCGACTGAATTGACGCGAACCTGCGCTTTTAAATTTGAACTCTTTGCTCTCGCATCATCTCGCTTCCCCAAAAATTCGTCGTATAAATTAAAGAGTGTACCTGCATTTCCGGAACTGTCTATATTTCTATTTAAATATGAAACAAATATTAATAATTTGTTCTATATTAATATATAACGCGCTAGTTTAACTCTTCCATAATTTCTTTATGTTTGAAAAAGAGAAAGAGGTGATAACTGGAAATCCATTCCGCAGTCTCGCGCGCCTCGATTCTTCATCTTACGTGGCAAACACACTGTATGCATGCATGTTAATTACATGCGATCAATTTTTTCTACTTTTAATTTATTTAACAAACACTCGACAATTAAGATAAACTGGAAGGCACAGCCGGATTTCTGAGAACTGCTTACATTTCCCGATCGCGCGAGTCTGTAAACATTTTATAATTCTTACGACCGGATACGCGACCCGTGCATTTTTCATTTTCTAAACGACGTACTACTTTCAGCGGGCGTCACGCAACTCTTTCACGGATTATTTATCCGCGCTTGTACGATCCTCGCTAACCGCTAGAATTTTAGAATGCGCCGTTTCGAGCCGGTCATTCTTCGATCGCAACGTCGTTCGGTATAGAGTCTGTGGCGACGCGGTGCGTTTTATGCAATTGCGGTGCGACGCACGCTCATTCCACTTAGGCGATGGCCGCGCCAAAAGAGGATCGCGCGCTGTCGCCGGCACGTGTGGAATGTGTTAAATTCGACGCGACGAAGGGAGCTTCGAACAGAGCCGACGCGATAAGTCGCGTAAAACTGCACGTTGTTAACAGCAGTACGACCAACCGCTATACCGAACATGTTCGTTACTATTGTTTAAAAAAGAATTTGTTCATTAAAGTCACGATACATCTTTTAAAATTTACCCTGAAAATTACGTAATCCCTTTGTCATGAAATTAACTACACCCATGCCGCGTTCTGAAAAAAAATTTTTTTCTTTGTGAATTAATTAAACAAAATTAATTTCTGACTTTCATAAAAATGTCACGATTAGGAAATAGTAATGTTTCTTTCGAAATCGAAATTTAATTTGTCCAAGGTATCCTGTTGTTATATATACATCATTTTAAACTCCCAGGAATTCTAATAATCCTTGTCCCAAAAGTCACATATCAAAGTCAATACTTTCCAAATGGTTCGAATTTGTTACGCAATGACGTTCAAGTAAAAGTACATTAAAAGTCTTTTAGCCTTGGCATTTTGGTAGGATCTAGGCGTTAATTAGGTAGTGGATGCGCGAAAATGGCGCGAGCTGTAGCAGCGATTTCACTGACGTTTCGCGTACGCGAGAAACAAAGGAAATATTCCCCCTGAAAGAGACG